GTGCCTTGGCTTTCAAACATGTGGTCAAGATGTAAGGAAACAGTTTCTCTAGGAAGGGTAAATATTTTACCCTTATATTATTGTATGGTTAGCTATAGTCCACTGTAGTCAATTTTGAAAGGACTTTGCAGAGAAAAACAGAGCACTAAAGCCATGATGTTGTCACATATCTTCTACACATGTAGCACCCTCCTTGTATAGGAGGCTTGGTAAACTTAGTTTGGTTCACTCTATAATCAGAGGAGAAGTGATCAATTGTTTTAGTCTGCTCATGGTTTCACAGGCTGAGGATTTGATTGTTTCCCCCTGTCTCTGAGAGAAGCTTCCAGAGCATAGAAGAGGAAAATTCAAATGACTGGCCTGAATATTTACTATGACCTGGCCAATCCCTGAGGAGGTGTGCCAAGAAGGTGGTCTGGATGGTGGTACATAGCCAGAAGCCTGGAGGAGACTGTTTTTTTCCCCATCAGGGATGGTTCCTTGAGCTTCAGGGGCTGCATGCCCTGAGTCGCTTTTGTAGTGAGTAGCTGTTCTGCTTGGCCTTGGATGTTGCTGGGCTGGAGGCCTGGGATAATCCTGAATCTGAGTCCTGGACAACTCTACCAGTAGATCAAGTCTGCAGATGTAGTCATTTTTGGAGTCCTGACTGACTACCTGCAACTGTAAAGCACCCTAAAATCATACCTTTTGCTACTTCTAGATGCCACAGAGATTTGCCTCATGGTTCCTAGCTATGACTCTTCTGACTGTTCCTAAAGCTGATGGCCCCCAGCTATGAGACCCTAAACTAATCTGAAGCTATCTTATGGTCTCCTGGTATAAGACTTTAATTTGAAGAGATATCATGGTTCCCAGCTGTGAGAACTAAACTGTATTACCTTTACTGAGAGAAGAGGGTCCTCTACTTATTGTGCTGAGCGTTTTTGGAGTATCCCATATCCCAACCCCCTCCTGTTTGCAATTCTTCTAGCAATAAAATACAAAAAGACAACCCCTAGACTGTTAATTTGGAGCCGGAGTGAATAGACTGCTGCCTAAGTAGCTGGCGGCCTTGTCTCTGTAAAAGGAACTAGTAAAATTCTAGTAAAATTCAGCAGCCCCTGCAGGAGTAGCGCTACACACAAATGAAGAGCACTCCTCTTCCTTATTTTTGGATTGATCCACATTTTTTTTTTCATTTTCATTCTTATGTTACCTTATTTTACAATTATATACTGTATCTATATTCCTTGTTCTAGTGATTTTCTTCTTGGTTGTCTTGTATTGTATACTCTACATACAATTCTGGCAGTCCTCTTCTCTTGCTTTTTACAGGGTTGTGTTCAAACCCTCATCATTCCCCCACCTTCTTTCCCCTGGCATGCTCCCTCTCTCTGCAGTTGCGCTTGTAATAGATTTCATTATTAGCATCTCTATTGCTAATTACCATCCAGAGCTATTCATTAAGCTGTCAGATCTGTAGCTCGAGGACAACATACAACGCTGTCAGATAGTGCTTAACCACTTCACTGCATCATGATTGCTTTTTTCTATAGCACTTATTCGGAGCAGCATAGTATAACTCTTTATGTGCCAGACACACTGATGGAATGATTGCACAGTGAGCGATCACATTTATATGATTAATGGCTTTCATAATATCCAGTGACATGTCTGAGAATGTATTTTTTCGGTAGGCAAGAATTAAGACTTATAACTGTGTATGAAACAAGTGCAATGTCCCAGGGGGCACAACATTGCAGTTGCCACTTTGAGATTGTTATGGTCTATAATACTAACCTCAGCACATATGGGTAATTAATCTTAGTATTACTGACGTCAACACAGTAAAGGTAATTAGTTCTTCTATTATCTTTTAATAAACAGAATGATAAGGTTCTACTGTAAGCAAATAAGTATAGAAATTCGAATTAGGAAAGATGTGGAAATATCTAGTTGATTGTGATTGGCAACCATTCATATAAATACCCCAAGACTGCTGAGTATCATATAGACTCTGTATCCTGTAACAACTGCAGCCTTATCCAAATAATGACATGGAAACAAATTCAATAGCAAAAGGTTAGGGCCACAGCTTTATCAACAAATGCCATTACTGTAAGCCAAATCACTATTTAAAGCAAAGCTCCACCCAAAAGGGAGGTCTTACTTTAAGGCGTCTTTACCCCCTCCTCTTTATGAAATGGCACTTTTTTAGGGGAAGGGGAGAAAGAGCGGGTACCTGGTTTTGACAGGTACCCACTCCAACCTTTGTTCGGATCAACTAGGCAATCTAAATGACCCAAGCACTAGCTAGAGCTTGTAGGAGTTTTCTTTCTGCTCTAAGAGGATGCAGAACCCCTGACTTCTGTCTGGACAGTGCTGAGTGGCCCAGTGCTGATCACATGCACTTTCCCAAGAAAAAAAACATCTCTAGCAATACACACCAAACTGAGCATGTGCAGAGTGTCTCCACACCAATATGTCTTATCAGGAGATAAGAGGGGGGCACTGTAAGAAGGGGAGGATCAGAGAAGTCAGGATCAAACAGCCTTACTACACAATGCAGAGGATTAACCCCTTAGGTTCCACAGTGAGTATAACAAGCATGCTTTACTGCATATACAGATTGATTTTACTGTTGTGGGTTTAGTAACACTTTCAGGGCATTAATCATGACAACTGTACAAATGCTGGGAAGATTCCAGCCACCGATAAAACAGTGACAACCTATTAGAAAGAGGGAGGGGGGGTTAGGGAACTCACCAGATGGCAGAGGTTTTGAAAGCTCTGTGTCTGTACCCTAACAACACACAGCCAGTTCAGCTCTCACACTTTCACCCCTCCCATGGTCCAGAGCAATTTTTAAATGTCTGCCTTTCAACTGGAGACAGGGGTGCTTCACTTCATGGCAAAAATTAACCTCCCTGCAGGCAAGTGGTGTGGCATTTGCACGTTAAAACAGATGTCATAACGCCTCCTCACCTCCTGTCAAATGTCCCTAAAAAGGGATCCATATGTAGATCTCAAATTTTGCTGCACATCTAAACCTAGCCTTAAAGGGTCACTAAACCCACATAATAAAAAAACTATCAGTAAATGCTGTATTACATACTGTTTATAGTCAGTCAGTTACTATGAGATTTGTTTTATGTATTCTGCAAAAACCTTGGTTAATCCTGCTGTTCTCCATGTCCTCCTTCTGTTCAAGTCCCAAATGCAGCTAGGGATTTTGCAGAGCAGTGTTGGCAGCTTTGCACATGCTCAGTTTGCAGTGAGTTTCTATGCTGTGCATTTCCTCCCTATGACATCTGAGCAGGCCATGAGGCTATAGAGTCACACATGTGGGCATATACACAGTGGACAATGACAGGCCACTCCCTCCCTCTTCCTCCATGCTCACTAACCAGCTAAACACAGTAAGGGTGGGATTTGACATGTAGATTTAGAGGGGCTTTACCTCCCTCCTATTCTAAGACACTGGCTGAAGGGGGCTTGACACAGCAAAAAATCCTCCAATGCCTTGTTATTGGCAAAAATAATAAAGATTTGACTTCAAATATATATTGGTATTACATTTGTAAACAGTTTTTTATATTAATTATTTATTTTTATTCTGTATTCCAAAGGCTGGTTTTTGTTTTGAACATGTGACCAGCAGCAGCACAGTAGAAGCTCCTCCTGCTTAGGTTTCCCTGCAAAGAGGGTAGTTTGGTCATGTGACAGCTGTATATCGATTAAGAAAAAGGTACTTTGATGTTTTTTTATTTTTTAAATAATTATATTGCCATCGTCCATATACAGAAATAGAAGGGACAATGTAAATTAAACAGTGTGTGTTTAGTATCACTTCAAAAGTGTACCTAAAGAATAAAAAAATAATATACTGAAGCATACCGATTCCTTAAATGTGGTGGCTGCATTCATTTAATTTCTTTTTTTCCCCTTGATTTTCACCTGGATATCCACCAAATAACACAGGTTACAGGCCAGATCACCAGGTGAAATTAAGGGAAAAAAAAACAAATGCAGTCACCACAGTTAAGGATTGGCAAACTGCAAGATAAAAAAGTATTGCTTTTGAATTCAGATACATTTTAAGATAAATGCAAAGTAATACACATACAGTAATGATCATTTCTGTGGGAGTTAAAGTGAAATTCTAGGCAATGGCTAACTAAGGCTAAAGCTACTCCCACCCCCATTCTAAAGCTATTCTACCTAACCCTGTAAAGAAAAGATTTGCATACTTAACTATTTGAAGCTGCTCCAGTCCAGTCACAGGCTGAGCTGTCAGCAGCGGCTTCTGTGTGCAGTTGGAGCAGCCAACAATGGATGCCCAATAGTAAGTCTATGGGAGAAGTCATCTCCCAGGCATTTCCCAGCCATTGTCAGCTTTCTCCTGCACATAGCAGTCACTGCTAGAGACTGGACTGCAGCAGCTACCGAATAGGTAAGTATAAGGATCTTTTCCTTACAAGGTTACATATAATAGCTTTAGAATGGGGGTGGGAGTAGACATAGCCATAGTTAGCTATTGACTGCAATTCCACCTTAATTAGGGCTGACTTTAACTGATACAATATGCAGATTGAAGCTCATCCCTTTGATTGGCAGATGAATGAAACAAATTAAATACAAAATGTTTCTATCTTGTGCCTGAACATTGTTTTTAAACACTGTATCAGACATTCTTTTTTTCACAGCAGCGATGATTACAGCTACTGTATTTCCACAGCAACTCCCAATGGGACAGGGGAGTGGCAGCAGGGCAGAATGATAAAGCATACTGAATACGCCTTGTGTACTTCAATGAAACTTTTCTAGGAGGGTTTAGCATGCTTGGAGTCCACCACTTGTTAAAATGATGAAAAGTCAGCAGCACTCCAGTGAAATTTTCATACATTTATTGGTCGAACATTACTTTTGTCAAATGGGCAGCACAGTGGCAAAATGGTTAGCACTTCCACCTGGCAGTGCTAGGGTTGTTGGTTCGAATCCCAACAATGGCACCACCTGCCTGGACTTTGCATGTTCTCCTTGTGCCTGCATGGGTTTTTCTTCCAGGTACTCTAGTTTCCTCCCACACTGCAAAGACACGCTGGTAGGTGAATTGGCTCCTGTCCAGGGGCGGACTGACAGCTCATGGGGCCCCTGGGCAATAGGGGATCATGGGGCTCCTGTGTCCTTGCCCAAAATCAAAAGAGCCTATGAAAAAGGTACCAGGGGCATCTCCTGGGGCCCCCTACTGATCCGGGCCCTCAGGCAGTGCCCAAGTTTCCAAATGGTCAGTCCACCCCTACTCCTGTCTAAATTGGCCCTAGCATGTGTATGTATGTAAGTTAGGGACCTTAGATTGTACACCCCTTGAGGGTTAGGGACTGATGTGAAGGTACAATATATATGTAAAGCGTTGTGTAAATTGACAGCACTACATAAGTACCTGAAATAAATAAATAAAGCCGACATAGTGATTATGACACTATGTTGTTTGAGGAAGGGACCCTGCAAGGCATCAAAACATTGACTCTACTTAGCAAATGTGACATTCAGCCAGGCCTGGAACAAGGGGTGGGCGAAAGGGACAGCCACCCAGGGTGCAGTGGTAGGGGAAGGTGGCCCCTCACCACTCACAAGCTCAAGATCAGTGGCTAGCAACCAGAGGCTGCTGTTTCATAACTGCTCTGACAGCTATTGCTGTCATGCCATGTTCCAACATAGTGGCTCTCCACCCTATCCGCCCACAGCTTATACAAATACACACCGTGCATATGCAGCTATCTTCTAGCCACAAGAAAGCAAGCGATTGGCCATGCAGGGGCAGCACACACTCCATGCCAACCATGAGCAGTTGGAGCAAAGGGGGGCAAAGAATGGGCACAAGCTGGTTTACCAATTCTCTGGCATGCATTGGGGGGTGCAGTTCTGCATCCTTGCCCTGGGCGCTGGATGAACCTAACCTGGTACTGTGTTTATCTAATGAATGTGTGAAAATTTCATTGGAATGCTGTTGACTCTTGATCTTTTTACTCTGGTTTTGCAGGGTGCCATCTACCGCAGTTGCTAAAAACACCCTCCTGCTACATGAGTCAAATACTGAAAGCAGTGCAGCTCAGATTGGTACTATTCTACACAACTGGTTATACAGACCCCTAAACCAACACACACATACCATCTAAACCAGGGGTCCTCAAACTTTTTAAACAGGGGGCCAGTTCACTGTCCCTCAGATCGTTGGAGGGCCGGACTATAGTTTAAAAAAAAAAAAAAACTATGGTCATCTCCTGTACTGTGTCCGCATTTGTTCAGAGACTGCGGACATACAACAGCGGTGGGAATACTGGGCTGGCTGCTCTATAAGATGCACAGACATTTCCCCCAAGTGTGTCTTATGGAGCGAAATAGTGTCCCATCATTGTGTGTCAGTGGGAGGAATAGTGTCCCATCATTGGTGTCAGTGGGAGGAATAGTGCCCCACCATTGGTGTCAGTGGGAAGAATAGTGCCACATCATTGGTGTCAGTGGGAGGAATAGTGCCCCATCATTGGTGTCAGTGGGAGGAATTGTGCCCCATCATTGGTGTCAGTGGGAGGAATAGTGCCCCATCATTGGTGTCAGTGGGAGGAATAGTGCCCCATCATTGGTGTCAGTGGGAGGAATAGTGCCCCATCATTGGTGTCAGTGGGAGGAATAGTGCCCCATCATTGGTGTCAGTGCGAGGAATAGTGCCCCATCATTGGTGTCAGTGGGAGGAATAGTGTCCCATCATTGGTGTCAGTGGGAGGAATAGTGCCACATCATTGGTGTCAGTGGGAGGAATAGTGCCCCATCGTTGGTGTCAGTGGGAGAATCGTGCCCCATCATTGGTGTCAGTGGGAAGAATCGTGCCCCATCATTGGTGTCAGTGGGAGGAATAGTGCCTCATCGTTGGTGTCAGTGGGAGGAATTGTGCCTCATCATTGGTGTCAGTGGGAAGAATCGTGCCCCATCATTGGTGTCAGTGGAAGGAATAGTGCCTCATCATTGGTATCAGTGGGAGGAATCATGCCCCATCATTGGTGTCAGTGGGAGGAATAGTACATCATTGGTGCCAGTGGGGGGGGGGAATAGTGCCCCATCATTGGTGTCAGTGGGGGGAGGAATAGTGCCCCATCGTTGGTGTCAGTGGGGGGAGGAATAGTGCCCCATCGTTGGTGTCAGTGGGAGGAATAATGCCCCATCATTATTATCAGTGATACCAATGATGGGGCACTATTCCTCCCACTGAAAGCAAAGACACTAAACTAGCTGACCCCTGTTCCAGCATGGTGCTGCTGCAGCCAGCAAACCTGGTTGCAGCAGTACCATCTGCATGGCACACTTACCGGGTGGTCAGCTGTCCTCCTTCCTTCACTTCGGCCTTCCCTCCCTTGATTTTCGCGGGGCCACTCGGCTCCGCCTCCTCGCCGGTGATTGGCCGCCTGTGTGCCTTTCCTGAGCTGCAGTACTGGTGCCCAATCACCGGTGAGGAGGCGGAGCCGAGCGGCAGCGCAGACATCGAGTGCGGGAGCGGCCGGAGTGAAGGAGCTGCGCATCCTGGACTGGATCGTCGTGGGACTGGGACCAGAGCCAGGTAAGAGACAGCAGCCCCCTGGCCGCCCCTGTACTTAGTGTCCCCTGCCGGCGGGCCGGATGAATGTGCTCGGCGGGCCGCATGTGGCCAGTGGGCCGTAGTTTGAGGACCCCTGATCTAAACCAACGAAAAAATATCTTAAACCAAAACTTCTTAAACATTTAGCATCCTCAAAAGGCCACTCTTCCAGCAGTTAAAGTGATTGTAAAGACTTCTTTTTTTTTTTCTAAAATGACAAACATGGTATACTTACTTGCTCTGTGCAAAGTATTATGTTAAATCCCAAAACAATTATACATTTTATAAAAGCAGAGACCCTGGAGAATAAAATATTAGCAGTTGCAATTTTTCAAGTGGCACAATAATTGGGCGGCTGTTTATTAAATGTATATTTTCTGGAGAAAATAAACTACAATACATTACAATGGAAATAAATACAATATTTTACCAATTTTATTGATAAAATAAAAAAGATAGGGTTGGGTCAAGTAAATAGAAGCCAAACATGTCAAGTCTTGATTCAATCAATTGTGCATGGCCATAGAATCACAAAAACTATGGTACCTAAAATTCTTCACAGGCAACAATTTAAAAGCTTTTACAGGTTATTAGTTTAACCAACAGCAGCCGTGAGCTTACTTTATCCCTTGAATACTAGAACAATAATAAATATAGACAAGGGGTTAAATGTTTGCTAAGGTCTTCGTTGTTATTGCCATTAAGACCTTAGTAAAGATTTGAGGTCCTTCACTCTGGTGTGCTGGCCATTTTTGACTTTGGATTTTTACCAGTATCACAGGTGGCAGTGCACCCTCCTCTTGATGTAACAGGTGAAGGTAAAGCATATAGGATAAGTTCACCTTTGGGAACATGTTATATGCTCCACCCGTTTTTAGGATAGAACATGTATCACGTTCCCAATGCTGCAGCCATGCTGTTCCCCGTACAAGCTGTCACTTTTTAAAAACAGCGTGGCCGTGCAGGGCTCCACCCACACAGCCACATCATTCATTCACATAGTTCTGTGAATGAATGAACTACAAGTCCCGACAGCCTTAGCAGCTGTTGGCTTGTAGTTTTCAATGAACTACCACAGCACTGTGGAGTGTTGTGGTAGGTCATTTATTCTTCCTGTCAGTATATCTGCTTGCCGTACTGGCAATCAGATATACTAGTAGGTCTGCAGGAGCTCTGCATGGCACCAGTGATCTGCTGATCACTGGTGCAGTGCTTTACAGGCTCCTGCAACACAAAAAAAATTTGTCAAAGGGTGAACACATCCTTTAAAATCACAGTGCTTAAAAGCACAAGCTTAAAAAAGACAGTGTATAGTCAATTTCTGCTTGAGCTAGAAAACCTCTCAGCAACTGTGGAAAAATGAAGTACCCAGGAACAGATGCAGTTGAAAAGGTTTAAAAAGACACAGGGCTGTTAAACTCTGGCCTTCACCCTGTAGCATTTACTGTATGGAATCATTTTCATAAATGTCAAAAAAAACATTAAGGTCAAATGATTATTGCCATTTTTTAGCAAAATAATTAAATTATATGTAAACCCTGACAATGAACTACTCCAATTTGCTGCTTTGTGGTCTGTTAAATGTACCAGTAAAAGTGATTTGTTTTTATATTTGTTCGATAAATACAAAAAATACTAGTTGATCATGCCAGAACTCATTGCAGTGAGCATTGAACTCCTTGTAGTGAGCAGTCAACAGAGTGCGTCTGCTACACTGAAACCCCAGGGAGTCATACCAGACTTGTTCAGGTTACCTCTGAACTACTGAACATCTCCCATTGTTATGGATATGAAGAGAACTGAAAGTTCTCCTCAAATCCACAAGCCTAAGAAAACTAATAAAACCACCACATCCAAGGACTGGTAAACTGAAATACATTATATTATTGTTCTTGAGTTTAGGTACAATTTAGTGTGATATGGACACTCTTTAAAATTAGACTTTCTCAACCTTTTTACCACAAAGGAAACTTTGCAATAATTTTCCAGTCTAAGGAAACCCCTGCTAAGATTAGTTCATTGGTGGTCATTGGAAAAATGCTCCTTACATTAGTGATGGTCTGTAGTAAGTGTGGTTCCCTTACAGTGTTGGTCAGAATGCCATCCATTAAATTATGCCCCTGGCTCTGCCAAGTGTGTGTTGGACCTGGAACTATGCAGGCACCATCATATGGAAGGTCAGTTAGCCACAGCTCAAAGAACCTCTGGCAATCTCTGGAGGATCCCTAGGATTCCACAGAACCCTGGTTGAGAAAGGCTATTCTCTTAAATCTTGGGGTTGGTCTGTGGCAGATTTTGCTCAGTTGTTTATTGTTTTCTAGTTGACATTTTACCAGGTTTCCTATCTAAGTGTTGGGTTTTTTTTTTGTGGCTTGTCCCACTAGTATATACATAAAGCAACTCAATAACTGGCACTCAATTTAATCAGAAGCAATTCAGTTTTTTGCCAGAAGCACAAAATGTCCCGATGAAGT